TGAATTAGGATAGAATATTATTGTAATACAACAGTTTTTTAACTGAAAACCATTCGAAAAGCGATTACGGTAACATCTTTTGAACGTTTAAAGCGAAAGTCATTGCTTTCGTCACTTTCCACTGTAATACGTACGTCATTTCAGCAAAATATTACATTTCCATATTCTCAGAAATAAATAGTAGTTTTGCTGAAACGTAATGCATTTCAATGTAAATTAGGATAAACTACATGAAAACAAAAGACTTTACCTAACCTTCCGATGTTCAAGATATGTTACTCGTTTTTTTAGTAGTTTTCGGTTAAAATACTCTTATGTTAGTGATATTCTATTCATACTGTGCTTGATATAATACATTCACGGAAATGTAATATTTTTGCAACTACAATGCTGATGTCAACACAAGCGTGGTTACAGCGAGACTGACTGAGTGAGGGAGAGCTATGCGTGTGTGTGTGAGGTTGCGGGAGCAGGCGGTGTCCCATGTTCGGTGCCGCTTGCGAGTTGAATGGCGCTCGATTTGAATGTACTTCAATTACTTCAATGTACAGAATATTCCTCCGGTGGGGCAATCCGCGTATTTGCAAATCCGTGTATGCTAAACCCGCGTATGTTAAGGGCCGACTGTAAAGTAATACAGGTAATAATAAAAAATAAATACAGTAATATCTCCGTTAGCTGGAATCCCTCAAACCCAGAACTCTCCGATAACAGGAATTTAAATCGAGAGAATTTTTGGAAAATGTCTTGAATAAAGATGAAAGTTAAAGTGTTTTGGGGAGGTGTCTGACCTGACTCAATGTCAGGTGGAGTTAGAGTGGGGGACTAGTGGTCTCATATTACTGACCTCCTGATGGAATGTTAGGTCACCCTTTCTTGGGTGGGGGATAAGTGGGTCTCGTAACCTGAAGATGTCTTGAATAAATGGGAAAGCTAAAGTATTTTTAGGGAGATTGTGGTAAGTACATTATAGTCTTGTTTTACGCTGTTAATTAAACCCATGGAGGTCCTCGTATAAAGCGAAACGCGTAAATAAAATAACAGAACATATGGGATTAATTGAAATAGAGACTGGGCCGACTGCCAAACTAACCTTTTTTTTGGTTATTGCCGACACAATACTGTACATTATAGTAAAAACAACATCTTAATTTTATGATGGTATGCACACACAATTAATATATAAGGGAAATATCAATAATATTAGGTTTTTTAACACTTATGTTAGTAGAAGAGATGGCTGGGCACATGGGGATGGGGGGTTGGTTCTGAGGTAGAGGGCAGATTATTGGCCTTCATCTGTGTCTCTATCCACCACAGAGGCTAGCAGGGCCTCATTGTCAAACCCCTCGAAGTCCACATCCTCACTATCACTGACTTGGGTTGGCTGTGATGGTTGGCGGGTGAAGAACTCAGTGATGTTTTGTTGACGGCTAGCATTGATGTGGTCGTGATACAGCTGAACATAGGGCTCCTGGCATTTCAACAGATGGTTATTCGACACGTCGTAGCGATGATTGACTGGGTCTTTGGCAAGGATGAGCTTCAATCTCTCGGCTAACTCGATGATTTCCCTCACATCAGCATGAGTTAGTTTCTGCTCTTGTTGTTCTGTAACACCTCGCTGCTCACTGACGTCATCATCTTCCAACATCTCGTCCGCAGTCATCTCAGGTTGCCTGATTACTTCCAGGATGTCCTCGTTGGTTGTCTCGGAGAAGCCTGCAGCTCTAATACTTTGTGCAGCCTCTCTTGTATTCTCCAATGCCACAGCAACAGACTGAGCCTCGCCAGCCACCGCTTGCCTCCGCTTCCCACCTGGGATACCCTCCAACACATGCTGCCACGCGTGCGGAATCGTTGCCACAGATAGCTGCCCCCATGCCTCCACCAAGAAATCAACAGCCTTCTTCACGTTAAACAGCTTCCAGAACTGCTTGACCCGCACTTCATGGTCCGCCAAATCTTGTTCGTGTTCCTCTTCCTCACTCTCGCTATCGGTGCCACTCTCTAGGTTCTGCAGCTTATCCTTGGTTTTGGTGAAGTTGTTCAGGAGCCGAAACGTCTTGGCGGAGAAAGCAGCCTTCACGTTGCAAATCAACTCTTGATCCATGGGCTGGATTAATGACGTAGTGTTAGCGGGAAGGAAGACCACTTTTACGATGGGGTGACGATCCAGCAAAAGGGGTGAGTGTCTTGGTGCGTTGTCAAGGAGCAACAAAATGTTGAATTGCACGTTATTTTCCACGCAGAATTTCTTGATATCAGGAACGAGACAGTTGTCAAACCAGGAGAGGGACAAACCAGAGAACATCCACGCCTTCCCTGAGGTTAGCCAGTGGACATTTAACTTGTTCATGTCCATGTTCTTGTAGGCATGCGGCTTGCGGGCTTTGTGGATCACCTACAACTTCAGCTTAGCAGTGTCGGATCATTGGTGGTGAACATTACGGTGATGCACTCCTACATTTTGCGCCCCCGACACTTGCTCGCAGATTTGACTACGAAGGTCTTAGATGGCAATTTCTTCCAGACCAATCCTGATTCATCCATATTGAACACTTGGTCATCGATGTACTGTCTTTCCTCCATAATTTAACGTAAAAATGGGGGAAAATTCATGGCAGCAGCCCGGTCGGCACTTGCTCCTTCTCCGACTATCTCAATATTCGTGATCTTGTTGCATCGCTTAAAACCTTGCAGCCACCCAGCGGAATCACTGAAGGGTTTGGGCTCTGCAACTCCCATTTTTCTTGCTACTGCTGCATAGAGTTCTCGGGCGTAGTCCTGCAGTGCTTGAGTGTCGACCGCCATGTTCCTTCTTGATTGACAAATAATGTAGCTTGCCAACAAACTCTTGGTCTTCAGCAGCGCCTTATTGTGGCAATATTTCACCAGCGAGGCACCTGCAGACTTGGTAATGTTCATGTGTGAAGTGATTTTGCCGGCATCCTTCTTGATCGTGCAGATCGTTGATTCATTCACTCCATATTGTCTGGCCAGATCCACCTGTCTCATGCCTTTTTTTCTAACTCCTGAACAATATTGCACTTAACCTCATAACTTAAGGCGCATCGCACCTTCTTGGGCTTGGGCCAGATAGTTCAGGGCTTCTCGGGAGTGGTGGGGGTCCAGCGGAAACCATTGTGTAGAAAGAAAAAAACAAAACCGGTTCCTGGGCACAAGTGAATACAGTCGGCCCTTAACATACGCGGGGGTTACGTAGCAGAGATGGCGACGTCTGAGGCTGGACAGGTGTGTTGGGGTCAGTAGGATGTATGGTGCTTAGAACGGGAAGAGGGGCGGCTGTCGCTTAAGTCGCCGAGCTATAAGGGTGTCAACCTGCTGAGGTGTGAGAGACAGTAGCTACCTGTAGAACCGTGAGAGCTGCCTGTGTGGATAAATGATTTGTGAAGACTGGAAGTCAGTTTCTCCTCCATCTGTGTGAGAGTAGTCCTCAGGGGTCGCCATTATTAGAATTACTTGATATTTGGGTTCACACTCAGGATGGGATGGAGAAAGGAAACTCACAATGTGCTCTCTGTATACATATTGTATTGGATGTACAGTGCAGCTTGGTGCTGGGAAGTGGCAGCGTGGTTACAAGTGTGATGTAGAGAGAGCTGGTTGGTGAGGGTGCTCAGAGGAGGACCAGCTTGTGGGTTGCCATGCTCACCGGCGGGAGCAAGGACCGCCAGGCAGGAGGTGGAGCAGGTGTTGCCTGCTGGTTGGTGTAGGTAGAAAGAGGGTGGTCACCACGAGGTCAGGTCTTAAATAACCGCGGTAGGCGTGGCTTGATGGAAGGCCCCCGCTTTGTTCGGCGTCGCTGGTTACCTGACCTTGACCACGAGGGATACGCCTGCAGATTCGCGGGGGGTCGGCCAGTCAGCGACACACGGCGTTTGTAGGGGAGAAATCCACTACACTATATCATCCAAAGTATAACTGTGAATTACGTATATAAACACATCCTGGTGCTAACCGTCTCCTCCACCTCTACCGTGTTATTTCTATATCATCAATTTGTTTCTAATACTTGTACTTGGAAATTATAAATAAAATAATTTGTAGAATTTTCTGTGGCTAAAAGTAACGTTTTATTTTAAATCCCAGTCAAATAACCTGTGGTTATTAAGCCGGATGCTGGCCAAATAACCCCTGCCTATAATATAATAGTTTTTCAGTGCAGTGTTGTGTACTATACAGTACGTATAGTTATTTATCTTATTTCCAGGAAGTTTCAAGGACCAACAACACATCTCGGTATGACAAGCTAAGACTCGACTATACAAACTGATGAAACACCTCTGACCTGTGGGACACACTTGTATGTGATGCCATCAACAGCAACTGATGAAACACCTCTGACCTGTGGGACACACTTGTATGTGATGCCATCAACAGCAACTGATGAAACACCTCTGACCTGTGGGACACACTTGTATGTGATGCCATCAACAGCAACTGATGAAACACCTCCGACCTGTGGGACACACTTGTATGTGATGCCATCAACAGCAACTGATGAAACACCTCTGACCTGTGGGACACACTTGTATGTGATGCCATCAACAGCAACTGATGAAACACCTCTGACCTGTGGGACACACTTGTATGTGATGCCATCAACAGCAACTGATGAAACACCTCTGACCTGTGGGACACACTTGTATGTGATGCCATCAACAGCAACTGATGAAACACCTCTGACCTGTGGGAGCAGACTTGTATGTGATGCCATCAACAGCAACTGATGAAACACCTCTGACCTGTGGGACAGACTTGTATGTGATGCCATCAACAGCAACTGATGAAACACCTCTGACCTGTGGGACACACTTGTATGTGATGCCATCAACAGCAACTGATGAAACACCTCTGACCTGTGGGACACACTTGTATGTGATGCCATCAACAGCAACTGATGAAACACCTCTGACCTGTGGGACACACTTGTATGTGATGCCATCAACAGCAACTGATGAAACACCTCTGACCTGTCAGTTGCTAATAGCGATGCCATCAGCAGCAACTGATGACACCTCTGACCTGTGGGACCTGCCCTTGTATGATGCCATCAGCAACCTGATGAGCACACCTCCGACCTGTGGGAGGTGAGACTTTACTCTGGGTATTCTGTTGCTTAACATCATGTTGTCTGGTTGTGTTCATATACTGCACAGTACTGTAGTATTTAAACATAAATTCGCTGTGCCGCCGTTAAATCCTCTTTATACTGTACAGGTAGTTCTGCTATAGCAGTAATTGTGTTCTTGTAAAATATAGTGTTACATAGAAAACTCTAATAAATAACAGGGCTTATGGAGAAAATAGGGTTAGGTGCAGATTACTGAAATCGAAAAAATTTAGTAGTTAGCCTAACACAAAGAGATAGCACAGTCTAAATAAATGTTACATTCATATCTAATAATGGAAATCATACAGTAAATGCTTGATGGGGGGAGGGTGATTTTGAGGAGTTGTCGTCGAGCTTCTCTTCAAGTGATACTATCTACTTTTCTTTCGATCATCACCGAGAATTCTATCACCAGAAGCGCTTCTTGTTGATATTCTTCTTTACTATATTCGCAGTTATTACAGTGGGGTATGCTATAACGAACAGATCTCCTACGAATATTCCTGAGCGGTTTTACCTATAAAATTGAAGATGCTATGAGCAGAGGCTCCTACAACGAACATTATTTATTTATTTATTTATTTTTTATTTATTTTTTTCATTATTGTTTTTTATTACAAATATTAATGATATTCTTTATTTTCAGGTGTTTAGGTGCTTATTTATATGCAATTTTTTGCAATTTTTACAATTTTATATTATATTTTTTCCAGTGTTAAGTGATTGTATTTGGGGGCCTGGAGTGGGTTAATCCCTATGAGGAGCGAATGCTATAACGAACAAGGTTCTAGAACGAATTAGATTAGATTATAGCATACCCCTGTACCTGAAATTGGAGAAATAGTAGCCAAAAATAAAGCGTTATAGCAAACAAAAGCGTTCGTTATACAAATATCGTTCCTAATTC